ATCTGGTTCACCGGTTTCCTTTCCGACGCGGATACCCCGCAGCGATCCGTTTCGTGTTTCCCGAAAGGATCCACGAGGAACGATAAAAATTCGAAAAAAAAAGTGATGCGTCAAACCGTCTTCTCTCTATCGGAAACGAAGAAGCGAAGAGTTCTCGCGCGCGGACGAGAATTTCGATCCGTCCAATTTCTTGCCCCAATTGGCAAATTCGAAATGAAATTTGAATATCTTTGATCACGGTTCGATTCTAATTGCTGTGAAATTTCGGCGAAATAGAGCGGTGGAAAAAGGCGAAGCCTTGTTTTATTATTCACCAATGTTCCCAAATGGTATTTAACAAATATTTGCATCGAATATCAATCCGGTTGGAGAATAGTTAGGTTGTATTCCGGAGAGAAGAGAGATATTTTACTCCCCCCGTTTTATCCGCTATAATTATTACAAACAACCAGAATTATTTAGCACGATAAACGTTATATAGAATAACAAATCAGTTTTCTCGAGTAAACTGTTCGTTCCGCGCGTTGTATAAATAATTGCCAATAGGCCATTGCCAATATTTCATTCGCTTTGATTGATCAATTAAAGTTGAACGCGTCGGGGGATGGGGGGGAATATCGACGGCCCTGGGTTCCCCCGGCTCTCCGCCGCGCTTTTCCCACCCGCTTTCTCAGTCTTCTGCTCCGCCGAGATTCCATTCAGTGGCTTCCTTTTTGAGCCAGACACCCCGCGGCGTTCTGTTTCATGTTTCCCGTATCGGTCAGAGCCGTGACCGGTTGTCGACAGATACGTAACAATGAAAAGCTGGAGCGTAGTAGTAGGATGCTTGGAATTGTCGTCGTACCGGAAATGTAGCGCGTCTCTCCGTCCACCGGTCGAAGGGGTGTGTTGTTTATCTCCCCACCAACCGCGGACGATAAAAATTACGCGTGTCTCGCCTGCTTTTTCTACAGGCACTGCTCATCGCGCCTGGCAGGTGACCGTTGTCCGCTGCCCATCCCTCCCTCATCTCTCAGAATCCTGTCACCGATTTTCGGCGGAGGATATTGCCACCCTTATCTAGTTTTTTCCATTAAAATTTTATTGTACACTGTTCCAGGTACGGGACTGGAATGTATACCACACAAGTGTGGGTATTTTTGTATAGATATTACGTGTCTTTCGTGTAACGTTGTGGACGTTATCAGTTATCATGGAATGGAATGGAATAGAATAGTAAACGTAATAGTAATTAAATTTTTTCGAGCTTTTCTTTACAATTTTCTTAATTCTATATAAATACCATATATATTTGCTCTCGAATTATAGAATTATTCTCGAGCGCAAAAAACGCTAGATACACTTACCTTCCATACAATTGTCTTTTACTCTAAGTGATTCGTTCCTTTCTTTCGTAAGAATCATTTATATAGTGCTTAAAAAGCGCATAGAATTCAAAATTTGATCAATTTTCCTTTTTTCCGCGCGAATGGAACGAAAATCAAGGAGGGAAGAACTTCTAAATATCGCGCGTATATATAATCCGTAGATATATCTATACAGGGGGCGTATTATAGATCGAGTAGGCATACCATCGTCGGTCCATTATCATATAGCGGAGTTGGCAACCCTCCCACGGGTTGCTCGGCTGAATTGCAAGGTTGCCCTTCCAGCCAGCGTGGCGAGATACGACTTTCACTCCCACGTCCGCCGGTAGTAACGCACAAAAAGATGTTCTGAATAGAAACTTCGCGGCATTAGGGGACAATTGGGCTCTGTCGTCACGTTATTATTCCTGCCGCTGCTGCCACGATGAGTGAAAGAGAGAATGGTATAGATATATATATATATATATATAGGGGGAGGGAGAGAGTAGAGAGCAGGAGGCAGTAGCAGCAGCAGCAGCACTCCAGAAATTGCTAAAATTTATGGACTCTGTCGTGGAACACGGAGAAAAGGGATAGAGAGAGGGAGAGAAAGGGGATGGTAGAGGAGAGAGATTCCTCGGGATCGGCCAAAGAAAGTTTTCTCTTTTCGCGCGACGCTTACGGCTCCCTGCCCTCCTCCTTCTCTTTCGACGAATCGTTCCCTCCTCCTTGCGAGACTTTCTCGCAAGACGAACGGTCCACGCTGAGAAACCGACGTTTCTCGTGAAAAGATCGTCCTCTCCATCGTCCCTCCTCCCTTTCCGTCTCCTCTCCCCTCGCCCGATACCTCCTCCAGTGCTATACCGGTAATGGGATAGTGATCGAAAGTTATATAGATAATTTATCGACGATTCGATTTCTTCCTTTCAGGATTATATTCTGATCGCGATGGCTCGCTCGAAAATCATCGAGAGAGTACTTCGTATCGATTGTTTGATAATGGAAATTGTTTCAAAAGTTTTCCTTTCGGGAATTTTATCGAAACTTTTATCGAACTTCGCGCGTATATCAAACACGCGAATCCTTTCCTCTTTTTTTAGTTATTACATCTTTCTTATCGTATTTCCGAATTATTCGTCAAGGAAGTATTATAGCAAACTAGAGATATTAATGATTTAACGATTTTTGAACATCTGCGAAAAAAAAAAGAAAACGAACGACATAGCGTCGTTCACGAAAATTCTCCCCAACAAAAGATAAACTTGTGAATGCACAGTTGATCTACCTAGTCGGGCGAAAATTCGCGCGATTAAAAAAAAAAAAAAAGAAAAAAAGAAAAAGAAAAAAAGGAAGCGCAGCATTGACAATTAATCGCGTAGAAAATTCGATGGACTGCGACAAACATGTAACCTGGGAAACGGGGTGGGAAAAGCCGTGAAACAATGGAAATCGAGTGCACGATGTGTGCATCTGTAAAAGTAACGCGTGTATACGTCATTCGATAGAAATCGGTAGAGGGTGTCGGGCAAGTGATAAATTTGTTTGACTAACCGAATGAGGTTCACGGGGTTCGTTGTACAAAAGCCACGTTGAAATACGTGTAAATACCCAGGAAGGAAGACTGAAAGTTTCGGGGCTTAAGACTCCTCCGACTCGTGGAGTTTTAAGTTTTAATACCGAGCAAATACAGGTATACACCTGATATCGGTGGCGCCTCGAGGAATCGAGGGTTTTTCGCAAGGGCCAACTTAGCGTCGAAACTTCTTACGCGGATGCTGTTTCCTTCCAAACACCTGCTGCATTATTGTTACTCTTCTCGTTCGACGAGTTTTTCTCTTTCTCGACAATAGATGGCGAAGGTAAAAGTGGCTTACAACACTTTTATGATAAAAAAAGAAAACGGTGTGATTCCAACGAGTTTTGATGGAGGTTTGAAATTGAGGTAGTTTTAGCGTTGCAATGAAAAGAATATGATGTGAAACAGGCTTGGAAATAAATTTAAACTTAGTAAAAGGTTCGTCCACTTAGCGAAAAAAAAAAGGGAGAGAAAAAGAGATATACAGAAAAATTATGCCAATATTAAGATGTAACTAGATCAATGGAGATTTAAATACAATAAGAAAATTAAATAAAATATTGTAACAACATATTGTTTTATTTTAAATTATCGCTTTATAAATATTTTTAAATTTTTCTGCTTATGTAGACAATTAAACGATATCAACAAATTCATTTTATTTCAACAAACAAAAATTGGTTGCATCGGAACGGAAACTTTAACGAGGCTCGCGTGGCATAAAACGTAAACTTATCGTGGAAATCTTTCTCGCTGGGGGAAGGAGAGAAATCAAACACGTTGAAAGGCGTTTAAAAAATGTAAAACACTTTTTGATAAAAGTTCTTAAGGATCTGCCATCCCTCCCTTATCCCGCGGTCCGCCCAAATAAATTTCGTTGTACTACACAAATATTTCACGTGGCGCCCCGCCATTTAAAGTTAGTTCGAGAAACTGCTTAGCATCTACTTATTCACTAGATTTTTCAACATGAACATCGGAGCTACGAGTTATCCAGCCGGCCCGCGCTTCCAGACAGACGTATAGATCGCGACCCATAAATAACAAGGAAGGGAAGGGTCCTCGTCTTTAATACGATCCCCGTTTCCCGAACTCATAACCGTTGATCTTCCGCTGGAAATTCACGAGGAAACGCGACAAAATAAGTATTCGGTTTTTCCCGATCGAGGCGATCTACGATTTGGTTATTTTTTTTTCTTCTTTTTTTTTTTTGTTTGTGTTTAGATCGTTCGAGAATATTTTTTTGATTCCGCGAAGTATTTTATAAAAATATGACGACACGTTTGTCGAATCACTGATCCGAACCATTTAATAATTGCGTAAAGTGAAACTCCAATCACAAAAAAAAAAAGAGTTTGTTTTTCGCGCGCCAAAGTTATCGTTGACGATTGAACGTGTAATTAAAAGTTTTCGATTAGTTTAGAAATGAGAAGTGAATTTTTTTTTTTTTTTTCGAGTATTAATACTTTGCTTGGCGATGATTTGATGAATTGTATGTTGCATTATACAAGTACAAAAATCTCTATATAAAATCTTAAGAAATTTAATTGATATGAAATTCTGATTTTAATTAACAAAGTTTTAAAAGTTTGTGTATAAAATTTAATATTTAAAATAATTTCTTTTTTATCGAGGAAAAATCTATCTAAAGTTTCGATATTTTCTCAGTGTTTTGAATCAATTTCGATTAAGAAAATCTTTCATAACAAATGGAGTATTAAAACCTGAACGTTTTTTAAAGTTCCATTATAAAGTTATATTTAGAGAAATGAAAATGGAACTTTAAATATTGATTATTCTTTCAAAGTAATATCCTTTAATCAAAAATTACCTCATGCAATATAATATTGTATATAACGTTAAAGCACAAGTAAAATATATGAAATTATTTTCGTGATTTACACGATTTCGAAACACGTACTTGATAGAAAAGAATTTAGATGAAAATAAACCGAATAATATCGAGTAATATAATATCGATCGATCGTCCAATCGAGTGAAACAGAGACGATGATTCAATCGATTCAAAGAAATTAAAAAAGAAAATCGAAAATAACCTCGTGAAAATTATGTTCCAGGGTTCACGACGCAAGATGCACACGATGTAACATTCAACAAACGCCGGTAGACAATGTTCCAAACTATACAACATACATTTTGACAAGTTCCAGTTTCGCTTCGCAAGCAGCCGGAAATTGAACGTACGTACACATGCTCCTCAGGAATCTCGTTTAATGAAATGTCAATATCCATGACCGAGGCTTTGGTCTTGTAGACCGGCTGTGTTTCCTGTATCCACGGCGGCGAGCCAGATTCCGCGATGGTAGTTTTACCGCGCTTTCAAGACAAACCCTGAGACGATGAAACGGATTTACACGGTGAGGCAGACACGGTTCACGTCACCCTCAAGTGGCGGCCATGATATTTTCAGTAGTTCATCCGGTTCCTTCTTTGAATTAAATGTTTCAAATTCTGAGTGTGCATTGTGATGTTAACTATGGTAATAAACTATGTTAAATATGGTAATTTTTATTGGTGGCAAGCTCTTTATTTTTTAATTAATATGAGATGATCTTTTAGATAAAATTATCATGTAAAAAGAAAATAAGAAGATCGTCCGAATTGAAAAATCCACCTCATGCTGTATCTATATCGAATATATACACGTTGGAACATCTTTGGAGGATTCTAAAAACCAAGGCAAGTACAAAAGTTCATATATATACATAAATATCGATTGAAACTTGTTCATTAAGTTACGAACAATTTAAGTTTATGTCAAATGAAGTTAGACAGGGATAGAATATCTTATCTCCATCACACCACCATCTTGTCTCATCATAATTTAAACTTCAATTGCTCGTAATCTAACAAACAAGATCTCTACAGATATTTTTCTATATCAAATGCTTTTCGTTTTAATCTCCAAAATCAATCCTTTAAAGATATTCACCATTAACATCCTAGTTAGTACAAACCGGAAGCAATCTACCCACTCTCTGTCATCATCGCTCTCGGCTTCCATTTCCAGATCCATGGTAATTTCGTAATGAAATTGTAACGAAGAGAGGGGAGTGGTGTGAGAGTAGATTAGAGAATCTTGATAGAACGGCTTGAATTCTGAAATAACTTTTCGATGGCTGAAGGGTCGCTCGGGTTCGGATTACACACGGAATCGAGAGTAACGAGACTAATTTGCTTCTGTATCACTCGAGGCGGAGGTTTTGATCGTCGTCGCAATTTTTATTATCGCCACGACTTCGCTCCCTCTTCGATTCGTTCTCTTTCCCGCGGAGGCGGGGGAGAATGAGCGACGGTGGAGAAAGAAATAACCCGCTAAATTTGTCTTTCTTTTCTTCATCCTCTTTGGAGGAAGGGAGGAAGGAAGGGAGAGACGTTTACGTCGATAATGATTGTGTTGCTTGGTTCCGCCGAGATTGGCGCGCGTTGACAAATAACGCCAATCGCTTCTCACCCCACCCCTTTCGCCGAGGATTATCCGATGGCAATCGTGGACAATTTTCGCTTTATTTTTATCGAGGGATGCGCCTTAATTTGTTCTTTCTTCTCTTGGTAGGGACGAAGAAAAGTCTGGAAATAAAGTGCTTCGATAATCTGAGTCGCGTCGAGAATCTGATTCTGTGTATATAGTCGGCAATATATAGTCGTTTATTATTTATGATTAAGATAAAAATGTAAGAGGAAAACGTTAAATCTCTAAATTCTTCAAGAAAATTACACGAACAAGCTATCGTGTAATATAGCTCCAATTTAAAAATATTTCGAGTTTCAATTTTTGAAAAATTGTTTGTCTATCATTATTTTGTATTTCCAATAATAATTTAAAATAGTTAGATGGGAGGAATATAAATTCTGCTATACAAATATAAATATATAATGATTAATTTAATTTAAGAGAACAAGAATTGTAGAAAATTTTTTCGATAGCAGGTACCAAGAATTTTCAGAATTCTACACGAACTTGATAAAAGGATACATGATAGAACAAAATGGATGGAAAGGTAAAGACGACAGAGGAAAATTATAGAGCATCGTTTAGATACCGATATTTGATTTATTGGTCGAATAAACTATAACTAACTATATATATTATAAATATAGGGGTGAGAGAGAGGTAGGTTTTCGACGAGGTCAGCGGTGAAATGAATTAAACGGACCGTTTTCCGCATCAATGTTGCTTGTATATCGGAAATTTAATGGGTCACTGGTATTCACCACGACCTAATTGTACCGATCCGGACGATTAAGCGGTGGAAAAATGTGATTTCACGGTAATTGAAGGTACGCGGACTTGGACAAAACCTGCACGCCTTATTTTTCAATTATTGCTCATTAATGATGCACTACGTTAATTCGATCGAGCACGATGAATAGTTGTTTGGAATAAACGCGCCAAAATATTCCCGATGAAAATCGAATAATACCTGCAAACTATAACGAACGATTAAATTCACCTCGCGTTTTCGGATTTTCGGATCGGAAATTAGATATTTGATTCAAATTAAAAGATGAAGTTGTCATTTGTTTTTTCAATTATTCAGGTACGTATCAATATAATTATAAATAAATCGATATATTAATTTTTATATAATCCTACAATAATCAAAATTATAGAATTGAGCACATATTCGAATCTTCGAATCCAGAATTGTACACCAAAGAACCGAATCGTCGAATTAATCGATTAAATATTTCGATTTTTCTCCATTTTTATCAATTTCCATCATTCCATACGAGCAACAAGATCCTTTCACCTCGGACTATTCCAACCCTTTGACCTTCAAACGTACCATAATTCCCCTCCACGACCGTGAAGAAACCGTTTGCCTCGAGTCTCCGCATCACTTTGCTATATTCCGTATCTATCCCCGTAACCCGAAGATATTCTCACATGATCGTAAAANAAAAAAAAAAAAAAAAAAGGAAGAAGAAAGAGAAAGAAAAATTCTGGGAGGGGTTTGCAGGTGAGAAAGAAACGATCCGTCTCTCGACTCGCGACTCAGAGTGACTCGGTGCCCTTAAGGGTTCGAATCCTTCTCGTTCCTCTCTCCTCCTTGATTCCTACATCCGTTCAATTCTGCCGCTCATCCCCGGGGGCTGTGTAACACGTGCGTGGCACGGGAAGACTGTCTGTAGGAGGGTGGAATCGGCGGCGGCGGGTTGCGAAGCGGCGGAGGGTGGTGGAGGGAGCCGCGCAAGAGTAACTGCTAGTAACAATGTTTTCTCACCCTTTTGCGTTTTAGCGGCGGGTAGAGGGTGAGGCGTGGGGCGAGCCGCCACCCTCCTCGTTCTTCCCCCTTCGCGCCACCCCGCATACGAAGCGAAGCTCGGTTATACACCCTCCGCAATCAATTTCGTCAATACCGCTTGTTGCGGAGGGGTGGCCGTGCTGTCTCGCCCGCGGCTCCCTTCAACCCGCCCCGCGCCACTTCATCCCTTCTCTGTGTCGCTCTTCTCAGGAGAAGGGTCTGTTGATAGATTTTTACGTTCGAACCGCGCCATAAAGTCATCCTACTCCTTTTGTCTTCTCTTTTTTCGACCCGATTTTCTTTCTGATTTCTCGTCGATCGATATCCACGTTGCTCCTTTGCCCGCGTTGGGCGTGATTTAAATCTGAATACTCTCTTATGCGCCGTTTATTCGTGAATATGGAAATGTTCACTGGTGATTCTTGTGAAATTTAGAATCGAGAACGAAGAATATATAGAAATGTATGATAAGCGTTCACATGGTGGATAAGAATAATTCAGTATGCAGTATATCGAATACTGTTAAATTTTTAGTTGTGGGAGGTGTAAGTGTCGAGAAATTAATTTTCGGCTAGAATCTTGGAAAATTTCCCTTTCGATGATTTAGTGCGCGTATAAAATAAGAAATGAAGGGAAAGGATGAGGTGAGAAACGAAATGGAATATGTCAAGTGTGCGTCGGGGAATGTTCGAGCAGAATGATTCGATCGTTTATTAAGGTTCGTTTCACAAATATTGTTTCAAAGTTTTGAAGCGGGAGTGAGGGAGGGAGGGAGGGAGGTTAATCCTGCAGGACTATCTAACGATCGAAGATCTTGAGATACAACGGTTTTCAGTGAAATAACAAGCCTCCGGGCATCCGTGACCCTAACGTTCATTCGCGTATTTCGTTCTTCCTCTTCCCCATATAATTGGAGTCCATGATTCTGTGCAAATATCACGTAACCAAGCAAACAATAGCTCTGCGAGGCATAGACTACACAAACAAAATAAGAATGTCTATCGGGTGGAGCGGAAACGGATCGTAAATTGGACAGCGGTGTGTTTAACGGAAATACGTATTCCTCGATGTTTATTAACAACAAGAGGAGGGGGAGGAGGGAACTAAAGAATGGATTCAAATTTTTTTCACTTCCTTTCCTACGTCGTAATGATAAATACGGCCAAACTCGTCTCGCGATTAAACCGGCCGACAGACGACGATCGATATTTCAAACATCCAGCGGAGAAGAAGGTTACAATACATCCGGCATTTAAGTATTTCCGCAAAGGTTCGGGAATCACAATATCCACGGCTTAAGCCCGTTTCTCGAACGCCACTTCTGTCGGTGGATCCTTTCTCCGCCGATCCTCCCACGCCTCCCTCCCTCGCTTCGATATAAATATCGATTACCTCGGTTATCCGGATAATCCTTACAGATTGAAATTACCATTCGTACCCGTGGTGCCTGTAACACGAAGGTATGGGATGTGTAGCACGCACCACCTCGTCGTTTTTTCATTTTCCTTCTCTCGTATAATCTTGCTTCTTGTATCTCTTTTCTTTCAGTGGATTTTTAATTACGGGGAACGATCTCGAACGAAATTTGACATTCGAATCGATTTGATAGAGATGAACAATTTCGAGATGGTAATTAAACTCCTCGTTTATTTAAAACTATCAACGTTCACGCTTTCAAGCATCAAATCAATTAATTTTACATATAATGACGTTATCGATGGTCATGAAATAAATAAATAGATTCGTATGTGATCGAAAACCTTCACCAGAATCTTATTCATCAAAAAATCAAAATAATAATAATGATGATAATGATGATGATTTTATTATTCATTTCTGTTATCTAATAATTCGTATTCACCGCGCATTCGTTTTATCGATTCACAATACGATTCGAGTGCGATAAATATTTGAGCGCATTCGACGAATCTCTACGTGTGCGCGTTACGTTCTTCTTTTCTACCTCGATGTGCCTCGCGCTCTTTCTTTCCTCGCGCGAAAAGTTCCTCTCGGAGAAGAAGAAATCTTACGTTATCAAACGTTCAAACGTGTTCCATCCAATTCGTGAAACGGTCTTGATCGACGTTGTGTTTATCTCCAAAGTGGAAAAAGATTGGACGCGAAATATGGCCTTTTTTTTCGACGAGCGATCAGAAAAGAAGAAGGAACGGCTCGTCGCTAAGCCTCAATAATTTTAGTTACGACAGCAGCCACCCTCTTCTGCCCGCAATTTTCTGCAGGTTGATTCTCCTTTAATAGACCCCGTTAGTTCACGTTACTCTTCCACTCTGGTACGCGATTTAATATTTTTATTCCTCCTCCTTTGGCGCGACGAGACACGAGACCCGTCCTTTATGTACAGGCGTGGAACATTGACACGTACATACACGAAGCTCGTAGTTTTTTGCGCTTGAAACGCTCGCGAGATGGA